AACAACACGCTGCCTAAAAGGCATGAAGTGGTCTCTAAACCTTCTCTGTACACCAGCGCCGAAAAGCCGTACCCTTGATGTGTACAGAACTGTGGTAGATGCAGCACGTGAATCTTGAATTGTGCACACTATCTCCTGAGGGAGACCCATCCTCTAAGTGGGACCGCTCAGCGGTCAAACCCACCGGTGTTGACCTATTTCTGGGTAACTCTTGGTCGCTCCTCCTGCCTGAAGGAGAGCATCCTTCCTCCACGACAGTTCCACGGCGACCCCACAACAGACGTTGCAGGCCTGGGAACCATAGTGCGTTCACACGCCGGGAGCCACCAGGAGAGCTGTCAATCCCTCCTCCTGAACTCGGTTCATGGACCGTAAAAAACAGAGGAGGTGAGGGAAAAGAAACGCGTAAAAAGCGTTTTGGGCCACCGACTGTGAGCAAATGCGTCCCCCCCCAGCGATGGATCGTCTCGCGGGCTCAGGGAAAAAACCGTAGTTGACATTGCGCGTTCTTCTCGCGTCGCAAACAGGTCCACAGCTGCTTTGCCAACTTCTGCTGTGTCTGAAAAACATCAGATCCGGATGGAGGATCCGGTCCACATAACGTGGGCCGCCCTTGGACGTCACATCAGCCCCTCTGTTCAGAACATCGGATATGTAAACCGCTCTAATAAAAGCAGGTTTGATGAACCCAACTCAGTAGCTTCCGCGCAATGTGTAACATCTGGGCTGAACGCACACCCCCCTGGCGGTTTATGTACGCAGCAGTCACCATGTTGTCTGTGTGAATCAACACGTGTTGATTCTGTAGCACGGGAGCAAAATGTTGAATCACATTCAGCACTGTGCGACACTCCAAAACATTGATGTGGGCTGATGTGCGGTGGGGCCACAGCGCCCCTACTGCTTGAGATAGGCATGTTCCCCCCCCCAACCTGACAGAGACGCGTCCGTGAAGACTGACACGTGACGTGGGTCTGCTGACGGGGACTCCCTCTGACAGAGCCAGGGTGTTTCCCCAGTGTCGGAGGTCTGCTCCCATGGAGGGAGGGACAGTGATCATCCGTCTCTTTTGTTTTACTGGATCCACACGCAGACGCGTAAACCACCTCTGGAGGCGTCTCATGTGTAACAAACCCAGCGGGACCACTGTGTGAGCTGATGACGTCATTCCCAACAGCTTCATGACGGAGACAGCTGTTACCACTTTGCCAGGTCTTACGTGGCGTAATTGGTTTTTAGAGTGTCGATTCTTGTTTGTGATAAACGAGCCGTCATGGTAATTGAGTTTAATTCCACTCCCAGATAACAATTATCTGGGCCGGGAAAATCGAGCTCTTCTTCCAGTTATGGCGAAACCCAGATTTAGCAGGTGTGATGCTAACACCTGAGCCTGTATCAATGCTTCCTGTCTGGAGTGAGACAGGGGCAGCAGGTCGTCCAGGTAAAACAAAACTCTCATCCCTGCTTGTGCAGTGGATGCAGGGCTGTCTCCACACACTTTGAGAACGTACGAGGCGCGAGGGAGTACCCAAAAAAGGCAACCTGTTGTACTGGTACTTCATCCCTTGAAAGGCGAAACGCAGAAATTTTCTGTGTTTTGGGATGATTGGTGTGTGAAAATAGGCATCTTTTAAAACGATGGAGACAAACCAGTCGTTTTCCTGGATGTTGTCCAACAGCTGTCTGTTCATCAACATGTGAAAAAATCTGTTCATGATCGCTTTGTTGAAAGCTGACAGATCCAGAATCGGTCTCATCCCTCCGGTCTTTTTGGGGACCAGGAAGTAGCGTGAGTAAAACCCTGTGTTTTCCTCCTCGTTGGGAACTCTTGAGATTACACCTTTTATCAGAAGCTCTTGGACTTCTGCATTTAAGGCTGAGACTTGGTCTGGTGATGACAGGACCGTCTCTATAACTCCTCCGAACGGAGGGGGTCGGGTTGCAAACTGCAGCGTGTAACCCTTGCATAACACTCTGTCCATCCATCTGTCCGGTGAGCATGTTTTTAACCACTCTGCGTGACGTTCGTGGAGTGGACGTGCGTTTAAATGATGTGCCGTGTTTTGAACGGATGTCATCCAAACCTCCGCCTCGACCGCCGTCATGCGTCGCGGAAATGTTTTCCGCGTGACCCAAGGCGAGGCTTTCTCGAAAGGGCTGTTCTGCGCGCGCCCGCGCGCTGTGACTGGATCGCGGACCAACCTTCATGTCCGGGCGGGGCGGTGTGTGCTGAGGCGAGGCGTGTGTCAGCTGATGAAGTGAAGGTTGTGAGCCTCGCGGGAGCGCACGTTTCCTCTGGAGGGACGCGCGCCGCTCTCGCTGAGGGCGGGGCCCGTCATTGGATTCATTCAGCTGTCTCACGCTTATGCCGCCGTGAGCTGCTGATCGCTGAGACGCGGTGGATGACGGCCACTCGCGTTCATTCAGGAGAGGCGTGTGTTGTTTTCGCTGAGAGCAGGGACCTCCACCGGACCCGGCCTGCGGTCCCACATTTATCCCGATGTGGGCCGGTGAGCGCCGGGCAGCTGTGCGTGCATCATCGACACAGTGCCGTTTGGATGGAGGCTGCCTGCCTCGCTCGGGTGCGCGTTAACACCGTTGGGTGGTGATCGTGCGGGTCTGATTGACAACAAGTTATTTCGCTTACCGTGGTGTCACGTGAGCGTCTGGGCATGTGAAGGAGCGGCGGTGGATTTAAAAAACCTTTATTTAAGGACACCGGCTCTTATGAGTGGAGGATGTGTGTGTAGCGGCTGTGAGCTCATCCGAGCTTACAGACTGGCTAAAAACAGGCATTTTGATCTTTGAAAAATCATTTATTCAATTCCTGTGTCATTTATACACACATCCTCCGCAGACCGTCATTTCTTAAAACTTCTCCCCCGTGAGCCCTGCGGTTTGTTTGCTCCGAGCGCCGTCTGCAGGCGATCTCTGGGGAAAACGCTGAAGTGCAGGCTGCCGGACTGAGGAGGGGTGGTCTCTGGCGGGCGGGGCTGGTGGTGGAGCTGGGCGAGACGAAGCTGCTGCTGCCGTGGAGCGTCGATGTTTCTGCCTCTGCTTTCGACGATCTCTCCAGCGGGCTGGAGGACGGAATGAGCCGCGCGGCTTGATGAGATGGCGTACAGCTTCCGACGTCTCCTCCGACTGCTTCGAATTCGTCAGCATGGACGTCAAGCTGCTTCCGAACAGCGCGTCCGATGAGATGGGGCCCTCCATCCGGTCTTTGTGCAGCTTTTCCGGCAGCAATGGAGAGTGACGGAGCCAGATGGAACGTTGGATTACCGTCATCCATGCTACAATCCTCGACAGGCAAACCGAGGGAGCGGCGCACATGTTGAGGATGGCGTCTGCCGATTACACAGGGAGCTCTTTGTCTCCTCCGGCAGGTCTGAGGTCTCCAGCCTTTTCGACATGCTAAATGCTAGCAGCGCATGTTGTTGCTAACTGCGGTTGCCTGAAAACACGTCGGTGGGCTCGATTGGAGAGCTTTGGTCGCCGTCTGGTTCCTCCGGAGGGACGGGACGCTGCTCCGACCTGGACAGCTTCGCTCCGGAAGCTTCCGCGAGGCTTGGCTCCAGGGGAGGGAACCGAGGAATAGCGTCAGTTGCCTTACAGAAGGAGTTCTTTGTCTCCAAGGCAGGTCTGCGGCCTTCAGTCCCTTGGACATGCTATATGCTAGCAGCGCACGTTGTTGCTAACTGCGGCTGCCTGGAAAAAACACGTCAGTGAAAAATAACCTTTCCGCCGATCATCCGAACTGGCGGGAAAAGGCGAGGGACGTAGAAAAAAGGGGTCCCTTCATGTCAGCCTCCTCCCGGGTTCCGCCGGGCAACCCCTGAGGGCGCTGTCGGCCGGGAGCGGTGTGATCGCCGATGCGAAACGAGGTGGGATGGGGTGAGCATTCACTCAGCCCCCCTCCACCTACACTACGCTCCCCGGGAGGGAATGAGCAGCGGGGGCTGCAGCTGAGCACACCTTGCCCCGGAGGAACCATCCGGTTCGCCCCGAGGGTCGGCGATAAGAGGAAAAACACAAGATGGCGTTGTCCAGCGTGTAATGACCTGTCACTGGGAAATGTTCCCCGACGCTTACCTTGGAATAAGACTGCTGTCATCTTCTCCTCGGGGAGGAGAACTCACCGGACGACCGGAGGTTGACTGCCGGGCCAAGCATCTTCCGCAAAGGTTGGTCATTTACACAATTTATCTTCTTTGTTCTTCTGACAGTGCTATATTAGCTCGCTGAAGAAAAAATGGGGGAGCCGATTTCCCGCTCTTAACGTAATTTATACGGACCGGGTGGGGCCCACACAGCAGGTGGGCGTGGACTAATTTTTTTCAGTGCTTATGCTGCGCATAACGGGATAAACCATCAGCGACAGCCTTAAAGGGCGAAGCCTATATGAAATAGAACAACAAACTTATTAAACGGATGAAAAAAGTTACACTGTAAAGGTTGCATTATTACTGGTGGGATATTTTGTTGGTAAAACATAGCTTCATTTATTTGGTTTTATTTTGATTTATATGATAATAAAAGATGTGGTAAGGTGGAGAAGTGGGAAGAGTTGCAGCCTCATAGCAAGAAGGTCAAAGGTTCTCCTCCAGTCTGGGACTTTCTGTGTGGCGTTAGTTGGCATGTTCTCCCTGTGCATGTGTGGGTTTTCTCTGGTTTTCTCCCACTGACCAAACAAACACGTATGTCAGGTTCAATGGTAACTCTAAACTGTCCCTAGGTATGAGTTAGAGAGTGGATGGTTGTTTGTCTCCATGTGTGTCACTATGATGGACCTGTCTTCTCACACAATGAAGGCTCCTCAGCAGCCCAGAAAAGAAAAATCTGGTAAAGAAAATGGATGGTTGATGATGAGTTCATCAGTCCCGATACTGCACAGTTTGCTTTTTTTTTTTACTCAAAGCCTTCTTGCAGTTGTATTATTATTTTTTTTTGCTATTGGGAAGCTTTAAATTAAAGCTGAAGTCTGTCGACTGACACACGGCGTCCTTCATGCCACTCAAGATGTTCTTTGGTGGATGCAGAAGGTCCTCAGGTTACGTTCTTCCGACTTCTTAGCAATGTGGCGTGTTCCTTCACCAAAAAACGTTTATCTGAGCTGCTCTGCAGGAGGAACAAAAAGAAATTACAGGTGAAACTTGACTGAGCATTGATGTCTCAAATAAAATTGTCTAACAGGAGCAAAAATAAATTAAGTTTAAGTTGCATGTTTATCATCCTTATATAGGTGATTGATTTGTTTGAACATATAATGGAACTTAAAAGTTTGTACCTTTTTTTACACGAGTATTTGTTTTTTTTAATACAAAATCTTATTAAAACAATATCTAAATCTGCAAAAAACAATTATCTATGTTAAACAAATATTGCAATTATTGTACAGAATAGTTTATTTTAAACAAAACAATTCAAATTCTGGGTTCAAAACTGTGTATAACTTGTCTCTTTCTGAATTGTGGGAAACAGTCTTATGACTTATTTTTTAGGGACACTGAGTTAGGTGGTGTCTTACCATAACCAGCATGTCTTTTAGTCTCTCAATTGCTTTCTGATTGGCTCGTCCCCTTGAGACATATGAGGTAAGGATGATGCTAAGGACATAGAATGCCACATTTATGGTTCATTTCATATTTATACATCAGCTGATCAATCAGAATTGTTCAAGAAGCGTACATGGCTGATCTACTATTACTCATTTTGAATACTTACATCTCAGCTAATATAAGTGGCAGGGCAAATGCCTCTGACGCCAAGTATCGAAGAACGGACTGGGCTGACCTGGGAAGACTGTTCACACAAACCTCTGTTACGTTAAACGCACTTTCTTCATTTCCAAATGGACCACAGGACAACCTGGAGCAGGAAGCAGAGACCTCTTTGTTACTAAAATACCTTAAATAAATAAGTAAAATAAAATTACACAATTGTATGCATTCAGTTTTAGATTAAAATTTGAGGGCAACATGTACCGGTAATGCATGTGAATAAGAACTAGAATAAAATGAAATAAAACAAAATAGAGAAATGTGTACATGGTTTTGTCTTTAGGGTGGTAGAAGTCAAAGACCAGTGCAGCTGCAGCCATGAAGAGACCAAGTAACAACATGAAATAAAACAAAACAGAGGAGTTGGAGGCTCGAAACATCCTCTGCTCCGCTTCACAACATCGCAGGACACTGAACTGAAGAAACAGAGAGACAGACAAAACATGAACAATGAAGGAAAAATTATAAGTCTACGTCAAGATCAATAGTACTTTTGATAATAACCCCTAATGTTGAGGACATGAAGACAATATTATTTTAGCTCTTATTTATACTATGTGATGACAAAAGTGTAAATTATTTACATAAATAATAATCCACATATTCACATACAATAACTTAGCATAACGACCAGAAACCAACTGGTCTTGCTATTAGCTTAGCTTAGGAAAAACACCAGCCTACAAAGTATGTTGTTAGCTTAGCTAAGCAAGAAAATCAGATACTAATCAGTATGATGTCAGCTCAACTAAGCAGAAAGACTAGAAACTAACTAGTATGCTATTAACTTTCTTTTCTTCTTCTTTCGGCTGCTCCTTTCTTCAAGGGTTGCCACCGTGAACTAACTCGCATGAAGACTTGGCAACTGTTTTTACGCTGGATGTCCTTCCTGATGCAACCACAGACCACTGAACTTCCACAGCCCTCTGTGTGGAGCAGAGGGCTGCTATACAGGGCGCCCAGGTGAGCAGATGGTGGGGGTTAGGGGTCTTGCTCAAGGGCCCAGAGTGGGGCAAATGAGGGTGGAGGCAGGTGTAGATGTTTCACCTTTCCCACCCATATTTTATTTTATGTTGTCAGTCGGGGGAGTTGAACCGGCAACCTTCCAAGCACAGGCCCATCTTCTCTAACCTCTGCACCACCACTCCTCTTAATATACTCTATCTTGGCACAAGGGTCAGAAATTACCTGGTGTGGCTGTTAGCTTAGCAAAAACACCTGAAACTGATAGCTTACCGTCTATTGTTAGCATAGCTTAGCAGAAATACCAGAACTCTTTGAAAGTCTTAGCTGTTTGGTTTCACAAATACGCAGTAAATTTACAAAAAAGGATGTTGCATGTCATGTTGACTATGTGTGATAAAAAACCTGCAAGCTTTATGTTCAGACCGTTCATTTTGTTCAGTCTTTTTGCTAAGCCGAGCTAACCTGCTGCTAGTCTCATCTCTATATTTTATGTACATGCATTAATAAAAATTCTTAGTTTAGATGAGAAAAAAACAACAACACAAAACAATATGAGTAGTTACAAGCTACTGAACTGGTATGTTTTCGTTTCATACTGCTGCCTGTTTTACTAATGAGGTAAATAAGTTGCATTAATTATGGCAATTAATAACAAACATGGCTCAGACAACCTTTTTTATGTAGAATGTGAACACCAGAGTGATGATTCCTATCAGAGGCAGCAGAGGGCAGTAATAGACTCCCACCCAGGACACGGTCTGAACATAAACCAGATCCAGCACATTGAATGGGATCAGGAAGCGTTGTTTCCCAGACAACCGAATCAGCAAAGATGTTGGGAACTTCTTCTGCAAAAGCCTGCCAAACAGTAGAAAAATACGTTAACTGACTTTACAAAAGTATCAGAGATTAAGTTTTTCTTGATTTGCTGTGAATTCAAGTCAGGAGGCACCAAGCAGGTGTGTTTTTTGTTTAAATCAGCATGTCATGACTAAAAAAAGATAGAAACGCTGTTAATTTCATTCAAACCCACTTCCTGGGGTAGTTCAGAAGAAAGGTGCTAAAGAAAGTAGCAAGGAAGTTGAAGATACACAGCTTGTACATCTCTCTGCCGAATTGGTTTTCTCTGCACTGAGAAGTTTGCTGCAGGGAAAAAAACAACAACACAAAAATCAAAACTTCAACAACAACAAAAACATTTAAAATGATATTACCAGAATGCAAGTTGTGAATGTCTGAGCAACACACAATGCTTTTATGAGCTCAGTGTGTGTGAAAAGTTAAATGTCACTCTTAACTCACATTAAGATTTGATGTGAAGACAGAACCTAAGTAGATCCCCACGGAAGCCAGTTTCAAGAAGATGCTCCTGAAAAAACAAATAAATGCAACAACACATTGTGAGTCCTTGCAGCTGGGGCTGTGTTTTTGCACAACAACTGTTTGCCCTCTTCTTCTTACCTCACAAGTGTTACATTCACTTGCACTGTCAAGGAGTAGTCTTCGAAAGATGAGATCTTGCGGAAGATGTGAGGGAGGACTAGGTTTACAAATGTAATAGTGATTGGAGGAATATACTGAAGGACCAGCTTGACCAACCAGTTGTATTTTTCATTCTAAAGAACACAATTACATGAAAAAACTCTTTAACAAATTCATTTATTACATATTGTAGGAAAAAAAATCAAGATCTGATCTTACGTTTTTAAAGGCTATTCTTGACAAGAAGATGAGGTAAAACGCTCCTCCAAGCAGAGATATAACAAGTAGGTTGAGGATGAACCTGAGCAGGTAGAGACGCACCTTCTGCCTTAATGTCCTCTGAGCCTTACGCAAGGAGAAGCTCTGCTCCTCCAGGAACAGCTGAGGAACAGATACATTTTTTTTTTAAATCCACCTTTACCTTCAGCAGCAGACAACAAGTGTACAAACACACATATGATTGAAGGACTTATATGTACGTGTAGATGTCTGTCCGTTCACCTTGAGGTCATGTCTGATGAAGCTGTGCTTGAGAGCAGCAGCTGAAGGATCCTGGATGTTGAAGTCCCAACCACAGAAGATCTTAAAGCTCACATTCACACTGTACCTTTTCCCGAGCATCCAGGTGTGCTTATAGCCAACAATTGTTCTGTGAGAGATGAGCAGATGTAAAATAAAACAACCGATGACGTATTTTTTCAGCATAGCTAGTACTTTGTATGAATCGCTGACCTGCGGACCACCATGATGAGACTGAGCAGGAAGATGGTGAGGATTCCAGCGAGGTACAACAGAGGTGTGTTCAAACAGGGCAACTTCAGAGAGCCACGTTTGTAAAAACCAAAGAAGACAGGAGAACGATCCAGAAACCCCTTTTTAAGATAACAGAAGAGACATCTGCATTAAATGACACAAGTACAGAAAACATTTAGTGCATATGCACAAACAAAACAAACAAAAAAAAACTCCTACCGATCCAAGGAATACATCTAAAACGGAGTCGTTTTTTTCAAATCTCAGTTCTGAGAAAAAATGGAAAATGACCATTCTTAAGAACTTTAGGAACACATATACATATTTAAGTTTTGCATAATCCCCTCCTTTCTGACTTACCAGTGCTCTTACTATAATATACCGTGGGCCCCAAAATGAAGCCCCCGATGAGAACGCAGTGTAGCAGGTTCAAGTAAATCAGATATCTGAGGAAAACAAAGTAGGCCTTCACACCTACTCCAAACTTTCCTGGAACAAAAGGGGTATGCCAGTCACTAAAACTGTGTAAATACACAATACATGAAGAATAAATGTACTTGTGGTATGTGTTACCTTGGATTTGATGGAGTGTGTGTCGCCACAGCAACAGGCTGGATACCGCCTCTCTCATCTGAACCCGAACCCTCTTCCTGTTGGTGCTCTGGCTCCGTATCCAAGACTCCCAAAACCCAATGTTGCTGATTTGCATCTTCCTCCTTTCCCTAACCAGCAGTATAGTTGTATCAGTGTTAATGGTGTATTGTTTGATTATATACTCAGGTCAAATCATCAGTAATACATAAAAACAATCACAGTAAACAAACTGAAGCTAACAAAAAACTAATATTACTGTTAAAGGCCATCTTGCTGCCTACCAATGTCCTGGATTTAGACTATAAGATCATCTCATGATAAGTGTTGTAGCCATTTGAGATATTTGGTAACAGAAAAACTGTGTTGACTCCAACAGTTAATGCTTAAGTTTTACACAAAATGTTTCAGTTAGCTCTCAGATTACGTGCTGGGGATGTGTCTCAGTTTCTCACATGGCTCCTCTCTTCCCTTGCATACACATAGCCAGGTTTCTGAGTGGCTGTGAGGATGTCTTGTCTCTGGGTCCCCTGGACACAAAGCTGTGGTTGAAGTCCTCCACAGACCCCAGAGCACACTTTTGGGCCTCATCCAGAGTACCATGTCTGTTCTGCTCAGGCCGAGTAGCCTGAACACTGGGCAGCAGGTCAAATATCGCTGTCTGATAGTACTCATATGAGTCCGAGGACAGGGTGGACTGAGTGCTTTCATCTGCAGTAAAAACAAAAGGTATTTTTACAACATGTTGGCTTACATTCCAGTAGACATAATCTTAAGATTGGTTAGCTAACTAGCACTAATGCTATTTCAGGAATCCAGACTCAGTGTCTAGTGAAAACTAAAGTTGTTCACAAAAACAACCATATTATTACACCTGGACTTTTTGCATTCTAAAGCAAAGGTCCAGTCAGGTCCAACATGGTCACATTCTGGCTTAAAATGACAGACTCTGAAGAATGAAAAAACTAATTTCTGTCCCACTGGTTAAAACCTTTTGATACAGTGTTTGGTCAAACCAACGCTCACTACGGTCAACAGCTTTAATGCAACAGTTTCTAGAGTGCATGATGCTTTAGATGAGATGGACAGAATCAATGTTTATCAATCTAGTATCATAAGACCTTCTCCAAAACAACTTGGATTCTATTAGTTGACTAAAAAACATTCAGTTTGTGAATTTTCTTATCCAGTTTAATCCAAACACACTGCAAAACTTGTAAAACAATGTGTTTTGAAAGACTCAATCAAAGTTGAGACATAATGCACAGCAGCACAATTCAGGTAAACCAAATACAGCATATTAGCACAAACACCTCAATAACTATGAAGCACGGCAGTGGAGGGCTAATGATTTTTGTTTTGCAGCCACAAAATCAGGACATCTTACAGACACTGAGCCAAGCACAGATTAACTGTAAAACAAGAAAGTGATAGCATCTGACTGACAGCTAGCATGGCTAAAATTTCATTAAGTAGAGCACCGACTCCCAAATTTACCATGGTTTGATCCACAAAATGAACAAGAGATTTGTAAACCGGTCTATTGCTTATTTAAGTGTACAAATGTTGGTAATTTTATAAACTAAAAAATATAGTCTGGGTTTGAATTTTAAACTGTTTCTGCATGTGGCTTATTTTTGATCAACGAATATGCCACATGTTGCTTTTCTGAGGTTACAGTTGCATAATTTCAGGACATGGTAAGAACCAGAAACATATTAATAAATAAATAAATTAATATTTAATTCAGGTCGTCCCACATACATGAAAGAAAAAAAATTCTATTACCTGACATGAGTCTCATGAAGTTCACATTTCTCTGGTCCTCCATTTCACCTTACAATTTCCTCTTTAATGAAACAACATAAAAAACTAGGCTCTTTATCAACACGTATCACTAACCTCTCCACTTAAGCTGCAACCTAAAGTCCTGAAAAATAAGTTACTTCCTCAGTCTGCACCAGAATATTCTGTTTCACACTTCACTGGAAGCGTCATGCAGATGCAAACCTCTGAAAGGCCAATCATTTTCCACTTGTTGGTGCAGCTCATTTTACTGAAGGTGGTGCAGATCTCACATCTGTCTGCACTGCGGCTGAATTTGACAGAACTCAGGAAATCACATGACAGGATGCAAAATCAAACTTACAACATGACATGACACACACGCACGCACATGCACACAGTGGACTAATAGGCACATAGAGAGGTTTTGTAGAACATAATGAAATGCAGACAACGCCAACCCCTTTTTTTCTACTTCATCACCAAAAGCAAAAGGCTGATGGTGTTTTTTTGCCTGTGTCTCAGCGTGTTCATTGACCAGTGGATACGATTTTAATTGAACCTACAGAAGCTTACAGGATATGAAAGATGATCCACAACTCTTTAACTTTTGGATTCAACCCCATTCAACATGGCTGCCCCACAGCTAATCAACATTAGTAAACAGAAAAATGGTTATAACAATAACCAAAATAAAGCTTTTGTTTCAAATTAAATTATTTACTGTCTTTATATCTCTGACATCAAAGTGCTTCTTCGCTTCTGGGTCAAAAATTGAGAATAATGTAGACTAAGTACTGTCATAATAATGGACTTCTTCAGTTATGTGGAAAGACACTTCAGTGTCTACTCAGGAAAATGTTTCACCATTTGCAACAGATCGTGGCTAGAAAGCTCTTTACACCTACTCAGTCTGCCACAAAGACATCTGAGGCTTCCAGTCATTACGTTTTACCAGGAAACATGCAACAGACTTTCTTTACTAATATTTCAATCCAGTTAGTTTCAGTTCTACACAAACTTTAATTTTGTAGCTAATTTTCATCAACGCACAAGCAAATATAAAATAAAATATATAAATGTGGTGTGTATAAAATATAAATAAATAAATAAACAAGGAAATACAAAAGTGCTAAGATTTAGAAAAGCGGATGTTAAATTTTAATATTGACATTTCTTCAAAGTTAACCCAAAGCATTCACTGATTATTGGCAGTGGAAGTTTGTATATGTTGCCACACTTAATGCACTCAAAAAAAATTATTTAATTTGTTTTTAGTGCAAGTTAATCATTATACAACTACTCCATCTCTTTCACTGTGAAGAACTGATGCATTAGTCTTTGATTTTTTTTAACTTAATTTTGAATAATCTCTACATGAAGAGAGAAAACGGTGTATTCCTTTAACAATTTTATAGTCAAATCTCTCATTCACATTCAAATGTGCCAAAATCAGTCAGAAAATCAGGGAAAAACTTTGAGCCAACACCCTCTTTGATGAAGACAATTTAATACATGACACATTTTAAGCAGCTGAGAAATATTCCTCTTTGAGAAAAATAAATATGATATATAAATAAAGGGTAGGTTTTGATTGGCAAGTAAACAAAAACTGAAATATATTTTCTGCAATATGACAGTTTATGTACTTATTTAATTTATATCTCCTGCTGTAGAAAGCTGAAGGAGTACAATGGTTTTTGTAAAAACGGTAGCTTTAACTTTTGGAGTCAACCTTGTTTGTCTGTTAGCAAAATATCTCATAAACCACTGGATGGATTATAATGAAATATCCAGCAGGCAAGTGGATACACCTAAACAACTGTTTTACTTTTAGAGACAAGTAAATTCAAGATATTAACCAATAAAAAATAATAACAAAAATAGCTACAACTCTGTCATTTATAGATATTGACCTAGAATGTGGTAGTTGTTGAGATTCACTCACATACTCATGTGTTTTTAAAAGTTTTGTCCAAAACTGTCATTACCAAAGATTATCTTAGTTTAACAAAGGTGGGTGATATGCATCCCTTCAAAGAATGCTAAAGTATTTAATTAGTTCCTTTATTTAACTATGCTTGTCACTTGTTTATAGTTTTGTTTTTCTTATTTTAAAATGAGACTTTTTTTTTTTATTAAACGTATACAAACAACATCAAAAAAGGTACAATAATATATACATTATGTGTTCACGCTACGTCTTTACAAAGTTACAACTAGCAAACAAATCTAACCAAATAAGAAGAATACAAAATAAATACAACTGTACAAACAAAACCCCAAAATGAATAAAAAAAACTAATGGGGCATATTGTATTTACAACATAAAAGTCCAGGGCATTTGTTACACATCAAATGTTTTCAAAAAAGACATCAACTTATTAGCATTTTTTGACTTCACCAAACACAAAGACTTATAAAACAAATTTAACTCATTCTTCCACTGTATAAAGTTAGGGATGGTTTTAATGAAGCGACATTTGTGTATGTAATGTTTGGCTAACAGCAGAACATTATTTATATCATAGTCAATGTTATGATCATTAACAAAAACACCAAATGTAATCTCTTGGATGGTTAAATCTGTTAAATGTACCCCATGAACCCAGATAAACTGGTGAAGATCTTGCCATAAGTATTGTACAATGTCACATGTTAAAAACAAATGATCCAAATCCTCAGTTACTTTCTCACAGAATACACACTTATCCACAAACAATTTAAACCTGTGTCTCATAAAGTCATTGGCTGGATACATTTTGTTTATAATTCTGAACTGCATTTCTTTGATTTTGGATGAGAGAGGAAAAGATAACTATTTGTCTCTAATCTTCTTAAATTGTTCCTTATTGAAATCTCTGAGGATATATTGCCTTTTAAGTGCAACAGTAAAAAAACCAAAAAAACAAATGAGACTGTTTGTATGAGGGGGAAAAACCGGTCCGGTGGACACTTTAGAGCCTTTAAAACATGTCTGATGTTACAGCTAAATGAATTTGTTCGTTATTTCATCCTTCATTGTAGACTCACCATTTATGGGTCATGTAACCACAGTATTTCTCATGTTTCATACACTTGCCTTGCATTCAACTCTGCTAGCAAACCCCCAAGTAGGACTGAACCAAAAACACCAAATCTGCGGGGGGTAACCTTAACGTTACATCTATGTCGTTAAACGTTTATTTTTATAATAAGTAATTCATTTCAAAAGTAAATAAATACTGATACATTTCTAAACACGTGTAAAATATTTACAGAGTAATTTTCATTATGTGTGTATAAAGAATAAACGCGACAATGGTTTCTTCCATCGGCTCTGCCGGGAGCGACTAAAAAGACTAAAAGACGGACGAGTTTGTCAAGTTACGGAGCAGCAAAGAAAATTGAACTTTTGTTCCAACTGCTGAGTCGATTGTTTCAAAACCACCTGTTGATTCACAGACCAGCAGGACAGTTGTTCGCCCTCAACAGGTAAACTTTTGTCATTTTAATCAAACTTAGAAAGCCATTTGTTCGCCTGTCGCCGACAGTTAAAGTTGAGCCTTTTAACAAGTCAACAAGCTCGAACAGAAGCGGAGAGAGTCGGAGTGTAAGGACGCGGGCTGTAAGGTTTGCACTTTGATCTGAAAGCTGGTTCTTTAAAGCGATGTTAAACATTCTCACTCTCGGTTGAATGAGTTTGTACAATGTTCAATGGTAGTTTTTGGCTAACTGAAGCAATTACAGCGTTATTGTCCGTGTGTATTCCAGGTTGTTTAATCTTATCCATAGATTTTTGTCCTTATTATTCCCATCATTATTCGCCCTCTTATCTTTTGTTTCTCCCCCCCCACACACACACGCACACACACAAATCCTCAACTTTGTCTTATCTATAGTTTTAATCTCCTTTTTTAAATGTAACTCTAATACCCACATCAAACTGTGATTGCACAGTTTAAATAGAAAAGTACTGGAATATTTATTTTTATGATGACCACACCTTTGTGCCCCCCCCCCCCCCCAATCTGTGAACCCTTTCAAACTTTCTGAGTTTTCTTTAACTCTTCATCCTTGTCTGCATCTGCTTATAACTTCCACTCATTTTTAGTGATGGCTGGTTCTTTGATTTTTATTATACTGTTTTTATTGTTGAGCAAAGATTTAAAACCTTGGAAGTTCATGTATTATCTTTTCATTTTCTTAAAAAAAATGTTTTCTTTCCCTATTAAACCCTAAACTCACAGAGAAATCATCTGTATTCTTTGTGACCCGGCCATTTTTTCCAGCTTGTTATATTTGACAGTAGAACAGCTCAGTTCTGACCCACTCTCAAGCTCTTTCGTCCCACTCCCACAATATTCTTCCCTGGTTGTCCACTCTCAGATAGTGATATTACTAAACCTTTTTATTAGCAATACGAGGAATAAAACTGAACTGTATTGGAAAAGATTTAATCCAGCAAACTCCAGTGATCTATTCTTTTAGTTCTTAAGTATGGCATTGGAAATAAACACACAAAATGTAACTTCATCTTCTTGGAAACATCTGGAAATGCGAGACGCGTGTTTGAGAGAGCAATAAAGAACATATTTGTGCAGAAAATGGATGTAAGCATGGCTGGAAGGAGCATGCAACACATGAATGGTGATAAAGAGGCATTTTTGAATTATTCAGTCATTCATTCAGTGTGCTGGTTGACCCTCAGAGCTCCATCAAACCTAAAGGTACTGCAAAGATTAAACTCGCTCAGAAACAGGAAGACGCCTGACGCAAGAAGAAAATCTGGGTCTCCCTGTCTTATTTTATGTTCATGATGCATTTGAGTATGAGGAGGAATGAAACTAAGTACTTGTTTCTCATGCAGCTCATCAAACAAGTTATGACTTGTTGTTGCATGACTTTTTTTTTTTTTTTTACTTTCGCAGTGTCTGCAGATTACAAGTGCAACGGCTTATCCCCCCACCCCCCAAAAAAGAAAACTACAGATATTTGTATGTATCCGTCGCATGTTTGCACAAGTACTGTTTTCATTATGGTCTTAGTCTGGATTACTTTATATACTGGGTTCATGTAGAGCCACACAGCATTTCTTTTTGTGTGCCAAAGTGTATAAAACCCTCAAACCTTTAAGATTCAGTTTTTGTCTTTTTGGAAGATGCAGTCCTCTTAGAAGCAGCATCATGTATATGAACTACAGTTTCTGTCGTTTTTACATGTAAACAGGAAGGGATCTGACATTTGACATTTCTGACATGGAAGTTTCCTGCTAAGTAGTTCTGCCAGTTGTTCGTCTTTTAGAAGTTGCTTGATTTTAATGAGAAATCAGTTTCCTGCTCGCTGCAAGTAATGGGTTTTACTTTGGTAGTATTTGTAATTTATCTGTATTCTATGAATTTATTTGTATTCCATCTATCTGTAAATGAACAGTTTTAACCATTTTTAATTAATTAATCCCTGTTAAATAATTATTTTTGGGGAATTGTAGTCAACAAGCTAATCAAGCCTAAAGTAGTTTGAGATTATTAACTGTTTAATGACTAACTAATCTAGAGTCATGTGAATTGAAAGCATGGTATCTTGAGAAATACCCTTGTAAGATTGCATTATGTCCAATATTTATAAAAACCTTTATGCCTCAGTGTTAATAGACATCATGTACTGTAAATTGTACAAACTAAATAGTAAAAACAGTCACGTCATCTATCTTTCTTATTACCTCAGAAATAAAACTCTGTCAATGTTTCATCCCAGTATGAGGAAAGACTTGTTTATATATTGTATTATCGGTATTTTATATTTCTAGAGATAACTTTGTATTTTTTTTTTAATAACAATCTCAACAGCCTTTCTGTCTCTGTTTGGTATAACTATTTGAACGTGTGTTTGTCATAAATAAGGACTGGATTGTTTGATAAAGTTATTGTAAATTCACCTAAAATGTTTAATTCAAATGCTACATGTGACACTCTCAGATGGTTTCACAATAAATCATTCTGTTTTCCATAAATATTCATTTGACTGGTCTGGCTCTGACTGGCAGCTTCTTCACAAAGAAGGCCTCATAAGTCTGAACAAAGTGACATTATCGCTCATCACAAGCATACCTCATCAGTCATCGTCAGCTCATGCTATTTGTAAAGCTTGCTGAATATTATGATTTGTAAGTGTAAAATGATAAATAATTTCCAATGTGGGGACACTACACAATTTCCATCAAGATTCTTGTTGCAAATGAATGCAAAAGGTAAAGAGAACACAGGACTTTAAAACAAAAACTAAATGTAACGCATTCATTTTCCAGTTATCTGTGGTTAGAATTAGTCCAGGACAAGCAGGAACTTGTCAATAGTTCTGGATTATAATAAAGTCTTGTGGCATTCCAGCCCCTGTACGTTAAACACTCATTGCGCCGCCTCCTTTTTTCTTTTCCGGTCTTTCCCAGGTGGAGGAATGAAGACCATGGTGGGAGCTGAATGCAGGGCTGTGACAGTGTGATCAGTCTGCGAAGACGGATCAACAGAGAAGTGGAAGAATGGCTCGCAACGTTAACTTTGACCTGAACCACCCCCTCGTTGAATGTGGACTGGAGTAAGTTGAGTCTCTTGTGTAATATTTCTGCCTTTATGATTCTCGTACCGAGTCTTGTTCATTCAAGCTGTCAGCTTTCAGAGTGTTACTGAACTCGAGGATTAAGTGGCCAGACTGACATAATGGTCTCTGTCCCAGGCCTTTCTTTTGTGTTTTGACCATGTGATCAGCTGCTAACCTCTAGTTCATTGTCCCAATAGAGAAAAAACAAATCTTTGCTTGTGTGTTAGCTTCCTGTTTTGTCTATAAAAACGTCAAAGGGAGCCGAACTTTGTTTCTTCATTTTCATCTGACTCATGAAGGTGTTTTATCTGCAGTGTAGTTTCTGAGAACTCTGGATGTTTACTGAGCCTTGCCTTTACCTCCACCCCCCTCACTCCCTTCTTTTTTTCTGTTGCTTTTTAATCTCTTATCCATGTGTTCCACTGTTAGGAGCCCGACAAACGAGGAAGATGTTCATGATTCGTTCCTCCAGCTGATTGCAGAGCAAAGTCAGAATGAAGATGTATCTGATGCTTTTGAGCTACAGGTGCTGCAGGGTGAGCTGGATCAGGAGCATCAAGGTATAAAGACACTGCATGTCAACTGATAGAAATCTATGTGAAAGCCATAAAATTTGTCTATATTTTTAATTTATAAAGGGTATAATCTGATGAGTTAGGTCTAATGTTAATGCTTCATTAGAGCTAAATATCTGTCCATTTTCCTGGTATCTATAATGTTAATTTTTTGTTTAATTTTACAGCAGTGTAAGTATTTACCAGTAATTGTGTGCTTATTGTATGTGTGTCTACTCAAACAGACTTGTTGGACTCGTCAAGTCCTGAACAAGAGTTTAGAGAACAGGCGGCACATCAAGGTGAATATGAACTGGAGGATTGTGAACGACAAACCGATGCACTTATTCCTGAACGCTGGTCTTCAGACACCCTGAAAGTTCTTTCCTCCATGCCCAGCCGCACCATTGGTCAGTATTGTTTTTAATGTACAGTAGATATTGATAAATAATAAAACAAGGGCTTGTTTATTTAAATAATCTACTGAAGACATAAGTTAGGGTTGCACAATATATTGCATTTTTTGTTTTTGCAATATATGTGCACAATATCAATATTGCAAAAGACTTCTTGGACTGCAATAAATCATATCCAATATATTTTAATGTTTTATGTGCAGAGCTTTTATGTTCTGCATGTTAATAATATATCTAGTCATTTCAGCAGACTCTAACTGACCTTGATGCCCACATCTGGTGTAGATGACTGTGATGACAGAAGATAAAGTGAGGAAAATGGCATCATAATATCAAACAATAATATTGCACATCACATATTATTCTATTATTGTGCAGCCCTAACATCTGTTTCTTTTTAGCTAAAGGTTTTGTATGTTTCTGATATTTCTGTATGTTTCACAGATGTTCTGATAGTTCCTTTGTGAAAATACAAACAAACTGCTCTGACGATTAAAATGAACTTTTCAGTTACTTTGCCATCTCAGCAGAAGTTCACAGTTTTGTGGAGGTAAAACAGCAGATATTTTTTAAGACTTAGTATTGTTCTCACTTTGCAAAAGATTTTTAGTTGAGATTACTTTCACTATGAAAGTCCAAAGTGTGCAGCTTCAACAGGCAAAGCAATCTCTGATCATTTCTTCTTAACCAGTAAAATTAGATGGTTCGTGCGTATAACTTTACTTCATTGCAAAAGGCACATTAAACCAGACTTTAGTAATGGTTCAGTGCCCATGTTGAGCATAAAAAGACTGAAGTGTTGAAACTAAGCTTTTTATAAGGAAGCAGTTTGTCTTCCTGTCTCTGCCAGGTCAGGTGGTTCAACGTGTTGGTGGTTTGCGACATGTTTGTGTGTTAAAATAAGATTCATTTGCTGCAGTTTAGATTTAACTTTCAGCATCTAACTCACAGCATGTAAACAGCCTTCTCTTATCATGTGTTTCACTTTTGTCTTGTAAAATCAGCGGTGTCGTACGCATTGTTCAAGGATTAGTCTTAGTGTTTTACATATTGGTTGTAATTTTACAGTTGAGGTTGAATCAGATAATTAATACAAGATGTCTAACAATGTTAAGACGGGTCATCTGGACGGATTCTTCTTCCAGATGACCTGACTTAACCTTGTTAGATTTTTCTACCTGGAGTATTGAGCATGCGTCAGGAGAATACAAGAGGTCGAAGTCATTCTCCTTCAAGTTTGTCTTATCAATTACGGTAATCAATCAACTTTATTTGTGCCTATTGGTAGATTAGATCACAGTGAAGTGTCAGCTTCATCTTCCACACACACACATGACAATAACAATAAACTCAACAATATTAAAAGTGGCCAAATGCTTAGTGCATTAAAATATAAAAACATATTTAAGGTTAAGATATGACAAAATAAGATAAAATTAGATGAAGCATGATAAAAACATGAAAGCTGACTAAAAGAAAATCAACATTACAATTGTGCTAAGACATATTTAAAAGACTGGTGACTACAGGAACAAAGCTGGTTTTAAAAAGCTTGGTTTAACATTTTGGCATTTGGTTGCTACGTCCTGACGGGAGGAGCTGGAACTTGCAGTGCAGCCGATCAGACAGTTTTATAAAATGGATCCATTAAGAAATGGAAGAGCAGCTCTCAGGTGGTTCAGTTTCTGGTTTGTATCATTAATGGACTTCTCTCGTTAGAGGTTTATTAGCCATATCTGAATGGAAGATGACCTAAAATGGATGGATAAATGGGTCCATGCAACTCGTTCATTTTCCATCTATTATAGTTTTATATATGAAGTTCGAACCAAATACAAAATTAATCAAAAGACCACCTCAGGATATATTTATAACAAAGTGATAGAAAGATACTCCTTACTGTTACTTATTCTCTGAACAGTTTGATTCTTTCTCTGTCAGGTCGCAACAGAGGAGCCATCATTTCTCAGTACTGTAACAAGACGCTACAACTTCGGAGACGCAGGCAGAGCAAACCAGCCGTCCGAGACTACTCTCGCTCTTCAAGGCCGAGCATACGTGACTACGACATTAAGGAAGACACTACAGACTCAGAGGAAAGAGAATGTGAGTGAAACTGCTGGCACTGATTAGACTGTAGATGCTGAAATAAAATTATTTTTCAGGAAAATGTGAGATGTAAATGCCAGTTTTGGCTGTATTACAGGTACAAAGCGGGAACAGTTGGTGAACAATCTGCAGAACCTGTCAGTAGGTGACAGAGAGAAGATGCTCCGAGGTATGCCTCTGTGTTTGGCTGAAAAAAGAGAGCTCAGGTAAACATTGTTTTATGCTCATTACTACAGATTAGAAATTAATATTTCAGTATTTCAAAAAGAGATTTTCATTGTTGTTTCTCTCCACAGGACGTCAGCATTACAAAAAGATAAACAACGACGTTCCAGCAGCGGGATTAACTGTTGCAGTCCGTTTCAACTTTGCTTTGTCAAGGTAAGTTACACTTTCAAAAACATTTCACTTTTTACCCAGTTTGTTGTTTTCAGAGCCATGAACCATTGATGGGATTTCCAAATTCAGTTCTTTATCAGCTTCTCTACAAAATCTAAGACAGAAAACATTAAAAGATTGCAAAACAATTCTACAAAAAGGCCTGCATGCTGTTGTAATGATCTGGTAATGATGGTTAAATCGTTAGTGAATTTTTTTAGGTTATGGATTTTGAAAGACCAATGTTCAAATAGGATTGATAAATGAGAAGAAAGTTTTGAGTTCGTTTAAAAAACAATCGTAAAACTTTGGTTTTACCGTACCAGTTTTATTTATGAAGCACTTTAAACAACTTTATGACCAAAGTGCTGTAGAGTTACAGACAATAAAACCAATAGCAGTCACAGTACGTAATAAAACGCATGAAAGCAAACCAAAAACAGCCTTATATTAAATAAAAACAACAAAATCAAGCAATTACATTAAATTAAATTGATTAAAATAAACTAAAGGGCCGCACGGTGGCTCAGTTGGTACTAAAGCTGTTGCCTCTCAGCAAGAAGGTCACCGGATCGAATCCCGGTATGTGGCCTTTCTGGATGAAGTTTGCAGGTTCTCTCCGTGCATGTGTGAGTTTACTCCGGGTACTCCAGTTTCCTCCCACAGACTAAAAACATGTATGTTAGGCTGATTGGTAACTCTTAAATTGTTCCTAGGTGTGAGTGAGAGAGTGAGTGGTTGTTTGTCTTTATGTGTCCCTGTGATGGACTGGAGACCTGTCCAGGATGTCCCACCTCTCACACAGTGATGGCTGGACATGGGCACTAGTGACCCCCACGACCTGTAAAGGAAGAAGTGGGTAAAGATAATGGATGGATGGTTAAACTAAAATTGGACTAAAAATCAACATCCCAGGTTGTGTTACAAGCCCAGAAGAAGAGATGAGTTGTAAGAAGTGATTTATAAACAGACAGGAGGACGCCTGTCTGATGCTCAAAGGCAGGTTGTTCCACATTTTAGGAGCAGCAGCAGAGAAACACGATCCCCTCGAAGATTTTGTTTTGTTTTTGGGACACAGGAGCAGCTGGTCTGCTGACCTGAGATAATGGGAGGGCGTGTAGGGGTGTAGCAACTCGGTGAGATAATGCAGGGTAAGACCATTCAAAGCTTTAAAAGCAAATAAAATCACATTAAAATGTCTCCTAAAATGGACAGGCAGCCAATGCAGCGAGGTTAAAATGGGGGAATTACAGTCATGTTTTTTTTTGTTTGTTTTGATGCAAAAGTATTAAAAGATTAAAAAGTGTTTGGTTATGATTTTAACAACGGAGTGCTATTGAGTTCAATTCTTCTCAAATAAAATAAGGGCATCTGGTTAGGATGCCTCCTGGACGCCTCCCTAGTGAGTTGTTCTGAAGATGTCCCACCGGGAGGAGGCCCAGAGGAAGACCCAGGACACGCTGGAGAGATTATATTTCTTGGCTGGCCTGGGAACGCCTTGGGATTCCCCCAGAGGAGCTGGCCCAAGTGGCTGGGGAGAGGGACGTCTGGGCCTCCCTACTTAGGCTGCTACCCCCGCGACCTGACCCCGGATAAGTGGAAGAAAATGAATGGAAGGATTGATGGATGGAAAACAATTTAAAAAACAAACTGTGAACCCATATTTGCACTGATGTTAGTCATTATATCCAAACCGTGTGCACAAATATATATATATTTAGTTATGTTATTAATATTTTGCTAGGTTTTCACATGACTTGTTGAAATATGAAAGTGTGTCGGCATGGGAGCATCTGCTGATTTGATTTAATTTAAGATTTTATGATCAGTCACTGGTCTGTTCACAGCAGCCAGTTTCAGGACGACGTGAGCCACTCTACTCAATCCCCCTCCTCTGGCACAATACGTTTATTTTCACATTAGTAATACAGCTTTACAAGGTTAAATTTGAACACACATTACTCTCAGTAACCCTTAACAGTGTTTCTCCTAGTTAACTTGCTATGGCGGGGTGCTCATCCATCATTTTTGTTGACGGGGGGGACAGAGACATGTCTGAGTGCAGCTTGTACTAACCATTTTTGAGCGGGGGGCGTTCAGCATGAGGGAAGAGGCAACCTGAGTGCTGCCTTTAGCTTTTTAGCTAGAGAGCCCGTATTTCAGGCCACTAGCTTAGTGCGATGTCAGTACCAGGTGGGGGGTGCAAGTTCGGTTTGGTAGGCGGGGTGCTCAGTTCCGTTGACGGAGTGGGGCACCCCGCTTGTATAATGGTAGGGGAAAGCTGCTTAAGGTACATTAATCTAGCTACATGTTTAGATAAACGAGTGAAGAGCACAAAAAATGGATTTGAACAACAACACCAAAATACTAAATAAATACAGGACTGAGAATTTTATTCTCAAACATTTTGTCTATGGCCACAAATAGTTGGTTGTAATATACGAACTGGCTCAAATTGATAGTCGTGCATGACAGGTAGCACTTTAACGTAACAATGTTCAGTTGGCTGTTCCTCAGTGAGCCAAAAATGCCTTAAATGTCTTTGGTGCATTGAGAACTGGAGTTCTTCAGTTGCTTTTTTACCTTGTGTTTTGTAAAACTACTGATTTAAAGAACCTATTCTTATTTAGGTTACTTTTCATTTAAATTTTTTTGGGGGTGCATCTGCTGCACATTTGTAATATTGCTGCATTCAATAACAACTAGACTTTACAACAGAAATTAAGATAAGGCTTGTAAAAGATACGCACACACACACACACACACACACACAAAAGAAACTGTCCAGATGACCTGACTGAAAATTGTTGCATTGTATACATGGATTATTGAGCATGGACTTTGTTGATTTTGAACCAGTTTGACATGACTGTCGATGAGGGAGAGGGTCGGCAACGGAGGAGGGGGCATGCCAAAGAGACCATCTTAGCACCAACATAACTGGTTTGTTTCACTTTGGAGTTAGCTGTTGGGGGAAGAATCAGTTTTGTGTTGTGTGTTTCCTTGACTGATGAAGCCTTCTGGATGGAAGGTGAAACGTTTCAGCACAAAAAGAAACTGTCCAGATGACCTGACTGAAAATTGTTGGATTGTATACCTGGGTTATTGAGCATGGACTTTGTTGGTTAAAGCTGGGATAGTTGAAGTGAGGATGGAGGATGCAGACGGCAGAATGAGATAAAGGTGGGTGGTGTGTTGTGGACTTCTGCAGAGGGAACAGCCAAAAGAAGAAGAAGAAGAAGGGTTACATTTGTTTATATAGAGCTGGACCTGGAATGTAACACTACCCATCAAATCTGAAGCGGGTCACTGAGAAACATATTTAGATCTGTGTATTAACGTAAAAACGATTTGGATGTTTCTTTAAGGTTATTCATTCGGACACAAAGACCTGTTTTTTTTTTTTTTGATTGTTTGTTTGTTTTTAACAGAAAAGGTTATCCTTTTTTAATGACAGGATTCTCTTATGCAAAGTCTTTATTTTATTGTCTTTATGATCCAGCTAAGAAATTAATAGGAAATTATTTAAGTTTTAGTAAGATTTGATCATGTTTATAAAATAAAGCTCCAGTTCTTGTAAAGTTTTACATTTGACCAAGTGTTCACAGAAATATACTTTCTCAAACAGAAAATGTAAATGTTTTGTCTTTTATAACAGCACAGCATGTTCTTCACTCAGGCTGCCGTTAGCCGTCAGTGGGTGTTTCCTGTAGGTGCTGTTACAGCAGTGCAACTGCTCTGCAGCCCAAGCATGACTATTGACTCAAAAAACACATGCAAAATAATTTAGTCCTAAATTGGTACAATGATTATTATTTTCTTCTTTATTTTCCATTTCATGTTCTTGCAGGCTTGGAAACAGTGTTTGTACATCAGGCTATCCTTCATTCACTCCCTCCACCTGTGGAAAGTGCCGCTCAAGAGGGTGAGCGGGCGTTTTGGCACCGGAGTCCTCTCGTACTTCTTGTTCCTCAAGACTCTTCTGTTTTTTAATCTCTTCCTCTTCCTGGTCATGGGTTCGTTCTTGGTGCTGCCTCAAGCAGTGTACCCCCCAGAACTGCCTGAAAATAGGAGGAGCTCCTTCACTGGGCTGGAGCTCCTCACCGGAGCGGTAAGCTGTTCACTTATGTTATTGCAACCCTCTTCGCCTGCAACAAGGCTTCATTTTAGAACAAACATCTTAGAACATCCTTAATGTGTTCAGATAGATCTTGCGATAAATACGTCTTTATGTCTGCAGTAGTTTGTTCCTTTTAGCAAAAGTACAACAAACTGTTGACAAGCAGATCATTACTGCTGAGAAAATAAAACGCAATTTATTTACAATAAGTACATTTATGTACTTCTAACAAGTGGTTCTTGTCTGTGGCACGGTAGGCAGCCTAGAGTGACCAAATCTAAGTAACTGTAATGTTTAAAATTTTGCTATTTCTTTTTGTTTTATTTTCAACATGATGCAGGGCTCTTTTAAGCTGATTAAATTTACATTTACAATAGTTCCTCCTAAAATAATATATTTAAACCCTACTGGGGAGAACCATGGACTTATAAGCATTATAACCAAATGTATCAAAGGCCTTTCCAAGTCACTTGTTCAGCTTTTGAAAGTTCAACTTCTAAATAATTGCACATTAACTTAAGGTGCTTTTCAAAAAGTATATTTGTATGTGTAAAATTTATTTTTATGTGTAAAATGTATTTAACGTCTTAAACTTGCCCAAGTATTTTTTTGTGTTAGTAATACTTGTGTACAATTACTTTTATCACTGTACAGTGTACAGAAAAACTAAAACCTGTTGTCTGTACAATCTGTGTTTGTCTCAGGGTAATTTCTCTGGTACGCTGATGTACTATGGATACTACCGTAACTACACACTGAGCAGCCTAAATTCCACCCAAGTGTACCTTTCGTACAACATGCCTCTTGCATACTTCTTCACAATCGGAATGGCCTTTTTCATTACGTGCATTATTCTGGTGTACAGGTATTGTGGTTTTATTTTTATTTTGGGGGTTTATAGTTCGTATGCTGGTTTAAAGGTTTGATTACATCAGCATTTCTAAGTTTTAAATCTCTCAACAGCATGTCAAAGTCATTCGGTCGGAGTTTCAGAATCGACAAGTCTTACAGTGTTTTGGCCGTAAAAACTTTCTGCTCATGGGACTTCAGGGTCATCAAGAAAAACTCAACCAACCTCATGTCGGAAAACATCAGCACACAGCTCAAGGTGCTTATAAACACTCCTCGGCACACACACTCCTCCTTTGTGTTTGTTTCCTTCTGTCAGGTAACCAATAGACAAGACTGTAACCAATAGACAAGACTGTAACAATCTGTTAAAGACTTCGCTTTCTTTATGCTCCCTCACTGTTCTCCTTATCTTTTATCGTTTCTCTTGTTTCTATTTTCACCCTCCACCATCTCCAGGAGCTGTTGGCAGAGTTGAATGACAAGCACATCAGAAGCTCTTGGTTAGAGAAGTTGAGGAGATTGATGATTCATTGCATAGCCTGGTTGATCTGCATCGCAGGCACCACTGCCTGTGTGGTCGGCATTTACTGCTTCTCTGATTACATGCACAGAGTAAGGATAAGTGCTTTGTTGCCTTTTTCCCCTTTCTTGTCACTCGCGCACATCAAATGCTTCATGTACATTCTGTCACCATTAATATCTAGAAAAGTCGAGATGCTGACCAGGACTCGTTACTGGAAGAAGCCAGCCTGTTGGCCCTGCCTGTGCTGGTCTCCCTCATCAACCTGCTGCTGCCCTGCCTCTTCAACCTTGCAGCCTGGGTGGAGGACTATATTTCTCCATCTGTGCGGACATACGTTGCTCTCAGCCGGTACGAACAAAGGTGTCACAATTGGCTGGTAATGGTGAACCCAATGATGCAGGCGAGGACTCAAGATAATGTAAAATAAATAATTTATTAACAAAAAAAAAAGAGCTGACGGCAGCAAAATAAACATGGATTAACAAGAGGTACTTGCATAACAGACTGATCATCATCAGTGGACATAAGACAATGCCAGGACAAGGACTAACACAGACACAGACTTATATATAGGAAACACCAATTAGACCAAGTGATGACACCTGTGAGTAATCACAGATGCCAGAGAAGGAGACAGGATGCAAGACATGAACATGACACAAGATGGGGCTAGATAGTAGAGAAACCCAAACCCTATAAAGAGAAACAGAGGATCAGGGGGGAACGCAGACATAAACCCACCATCAGGGGACAAGACCACAACTCCTACAAAAAGAATTGTTAATCAGAAGACAATGTCTGTTGACAGCCTTGAGTTCAATTTATTTTGTTCTTCTTGTTTTGTAGGAACTTAATGTTGAAAGTGAGCGTGCTAGGTGTCCTGTGCTACCATTGGTTGAGTCGAATTGCTACTAACAGTACTGATTACATTAAGGTGACATGAATGATATATTACTTTCAAAATATCTCAACAGACACTCGTTTTCTTGCAGTTGAAACTAATTTCTTGATAATTGTGTTTTCTTGACATTGTCACAGTGCTGGGAGAGTTTTGTCGGTCAGGAGCTTTATCGCTTCCTCATCGTAGACTTCATCTTCACTCTGCTGGATACGTTATTTGGAGAGTTGCTTTGGAGGTGGGTTTTCTGTCAGTAGCTGACTTGTATCAAGCTGTTTTTAAAAGCAAATTGTAAAAAAAAATAATAAATCGATGCGATGTTGTGAAAAATTTTGAAATACTGATAAATGATTTTATACACGAGAGCTGAAAAAAATAGTATTTCAGTGAAAGATAGCTGGAAGCTGTCCATCCATCAATCATATAACTTGTGAAAGTACACAGTGCAGAAATCTTCCACAAGCTCTTAGTTGTTCTTAATTTTTATAATTTACTCTTCAGGCTGCACTGATTTTTGCATAAGCAAATAAAGTAAATCAAAATAAGAATCTAATCATATTTTATTGTGTAGATTATTTTGAAAATATGGTTAAAATTTGTGAAATATTTGAGTGGAAACCCATTTAAAAAGTCCCTTGTAGTTCTTGTGATCTGTGGTGTCTTCATTTAAATGTATATAAGCCAGTGAAAGTACCTTTGACCCAGTTGCTTCTTTTCTGTGTTCATTTCCTCTTGTGGGTGAACTTAAAAACAATAAAGGTTCATTCTAGATTTTTTTTTTTCCTGTCTACAGGTTGTTCTCTGACAAAATCCTTAAGAGAAACAGAAAACCAGAGTTTGGTATCGCCAAGAACGTCCTGGACCTCATCTATGGACAAACTTTAGCTTGGTACAGACTGTATATTTATGATTAATTAACAGGCTGTTCTGACAGATCAAACAATCATGTTTGTTCTGTTTTTCCAGGTTGGGTGTTCTCTTCTCACCTCTCCTTCCTGCTGTGCAGATTCTCAAACTGTTTCTGCTCTTTTACATTAAGATGGTAAATAAATTTAATCTTCTTCTTATTTAACATCATCAGACATCCAAACTGAGGGGGAGTGGTGGCGCAGAGGTTAGAAAAGGCGAGTCCGGTTCGACTCCCCGGTACAGACAACATCAAAATGTGGGTGGGATAGGTGAAGCACCCACACCTGCCTCCACTCTCACTTGCCCCACTCTGGGCCCTTGAGCAAGGCCCTTAACCCCCACCATCTGCTCCCACGGGCACCCTAGATGACAGCTCTCTGCTCCACACAGAGGACTGTGGTAGCTCGGTGGTCTGTGGTTGCGTCAGGAAGGACATCCTGCATAAAAACAATTAAGTCTTTGTGTGAGTTAGTTTGCTGTAGAGGAAGAGAGCAGAAGGGTTAAAAAAAACACATCCAAACTGATATAGTTTTATCAAACTTACAAAGTTCATCCATCACATGCAGTATTTGTTTCATAAACATTCACACAGATTAGTGCACATCTTGTTGCTTTTGTCATTTTGGCCTGTTATTTAATTATTCACTGATTTGGTGGTCCAATCAGTGGTTTTGAGCCTCCTTGTTCAGCAGAGTTCCCCGTTGTTGAGTCTGTGACCCCTGACCCAAACTTGTGTGTATTTTTTCTACAGAGCAGTGTGATGATGAACTGCCAGGCCCCCAGGAGACCGTACCGAGTCAGCCAGATGACCACCATCTTCATCACACTCCTCTGCTTCCCATCCTTCCTTGGCGCCTCTGTGTGTGTCACATACACCATGTGGAGGTACTGAATACAAGCTCAGCTGATGTTGTCGTGTTTCACTTGACTTTGTTACAGGTTTACAATCTGACAAGTAACTGTCCCGACCTAGTAACATAATCTAGTGAAGTACTCGACCTCAGGTTATGTCATAGTCGCAACATTACCACAACTCATAAGCCCAGGCTTTCTATATTGTATTGAAGAGAAATATTAGATCTTTTTTGTCAAACTGAGACGTTACATTCTGGTCACACCACCACGAAGATACAGAACAAATGAACTCTTCTAGCTACATAGAGGAAGAGAGGATCAGTTGTCTTGTGACATTTGTTTCTTCTGTAGTTAAACACCTCCACTAAAAAGTTTGTTTCAGAACAATCAGTAGATCTGTATTTCTGTAGTTCTTCCAAAAGGCATGATAAAATGTTGGTCAGAAGATCTTTGTGTGTAAACATTTTTAAAGTTTTTGTTTTGTGTCTTCTGTCCTCAGTATAAAGCCGTCAAAATCTTGTGGCCCGTTCCGTGGGCTCAACACCATGTTCCAAGCAGGAAAATTCTGGATGCAAAAACTGGAAGAAAAAAATCCCAACCTGTCCATGCTGGCCAAGGCTCACACCTACCTGGTGGAAAACCCCTTTTTCTTGTTTGTGGGAGCAGGCATCTTTCTGTGAGTGTTCACACACACACACACACACACACACACACACACACACACACACACAC